GTGTGCAGTTGTCTGACTAGACTCTGCTGCTGTCCAGGGCATGGCCCTGATGTTCAGTCATTCTTGTACTGACTGCAGTCTTGGCTTGAGCTTGCTCCTCCTCTGCATTAAGCAAGGACTTCAGGGACTGGGAGGTTTGTATGGAGGCACTGCAGGTGATGGTAGCAACTGATGCCTGGAAACATTAGCAAGGAAAGTACACTGCAGTTGAGTCCAAAGTGTGATTTATGTGCACGTTCCAGATAAAGAAGTTTGGGACAAGCTGTGGGTCAACTGACTAGCGTGGTGTTATTCCTAAGACAGATCCCGGAGAGTTTTCCATATGCAATTGCTTCAGTCTCCCTTGGCACTGATACTCTCTCCCCACTATCTCCTCATTGCCAGAAAGCTCCCTTGGCTTACGCTGACTGCTTGACAGATGTGTTTTCCATCTAGCTTGCAAAGTTAGTAGTTCCCAGTGTAGCCTACGGTGTGTAGGAGAGCTGTCCCTTACTTTTCAGATGCCCTGGCATGCTGCAGGCCCTGGTTTTAAGGCACATCATACCCTTGGGACTGGGTATGTTTGGGTTTGCAGTTTATTCTGAAATTATCCTCAACACAATCCTGGTCTAGGTAAAATCAAAAACAGGAATCTATTTGTAGCATATGAAGAGACAACACTGTGACTGAGGCTTTGAAGGACACACGTGACAGGAAGGAAAGAAGACCAGTCATAAGCTATTTAAGATGAAATTTTAATGGCAGTTCTTGTCTGTATCCAGATGACAAGCTGTAGATGCTTCCCTAATCCTTGTGATCAGGTATTTGATAATGGCACACAGCCAGCACTTCTAGCCTGTGTTCACAAGAGGGAACACCAGGGTGGGGAAGATTTGCTTTTACATCCTGCCATCTCCATGGGGTTTCCCTGTGTTCTACCATGATTTAATTCTTTCTCCCACTTTCCCTCCTCAGTGATTTTTTACTTCTCAATCCAGTTTAGAAATTTTGACCTTCTTCCCACTAGACCATTCTTCACTCCTCCTCTTTGGAAATGCTCCTGTCCCTTTAATAAGGCTTGCCTCAGTTATCATCTGCATCTCCAGACAGAGAGCAGACTAATTTCAGGATGGCTCCAGTGCCTAGCTAAGCCCTGAACATAACAACATCAGGACACTGTGAGCTAGCACACATTTGTCTGCCATGCAGGGCAGGGCTCAGGTCCAGAGGAGGTGGCTTTGACATTATAAACCTTGTATTTCATATAAACATTTGACTTGCTAACTGCGCATACCTGGGATTGATGAATGCAGGGCCAGAAATCATCCTCTGAAGACTGGACACAGTGGTAACCAGATCACTTTGGAATCCTAAGTGTGGAGGTGAGGGATACTGGTAATATCGGTACATTAATGGTAAATGGTAGGGATACTATTACATTAATGGTAAATGACGTTGCTGTTAACCATTATTCCCAGGGACAGTAATGGATAGAGAAAAGGAAGAGAGGAGAGTTATTGAAGAATTCATTTTGTTTTTCCTTAAATGTGGTTGCAGTTGACCTAATCCGGATCTAAACATAGCCTTGTGCATCAGCTAACTAGACCAGTTTATATCCATGCCTTTCATTAAAACGACGTACATATCTGTGTGTCTGAGACTGTAGGTTGTTGTGGATGTGCTTGCTGGGCTTGCTGCCATCTCTAAGGGTGTTTGGCCAACTTGGTAACAACTCCAATCCAAGTTATAACTTCACAAAAGTCCAGGTTGCACCTGGCCCATACTTAGTGCTTCCAGCAAAGACAAATTAGAAATATAATTCAGAGTAGAGTAGAGCTATTTACCTTTTAAAGAGGGTGAGCTGAGATGGATATTTTACTCTGATGGCCTTGCTCTGTGCTGTCACCCTTTCTCCTTAAAGGTGTAAAGATTATTCGGTAAATGAACAGGAACTTTAGTTTCCTGCCTTATGCTCTACTGCAGTAAAAGCACTCTTGTGTCCTGCACTTATGACTGAGATTTGGAACAAAGCATTCTTGAAAGGGAGTCATCAGATCTGGCATTCGCTCCTGCCAAGAGATGTCTTAGCTCCTGATGTTTTAAAGTCATGTCAGAAAAGAAAAAAATCTTTCTCTTTGAGTCTTTCCTGGTTACCATGTTGTCTCTTCAGGTTTTTCGGTTGGCCTGCGAAAAGAGATAATTCAAAGCAGAATCACTTTAGTCTCTCTATGGGGTAACCTGAAATCTGCAATTCAGGGTTTCAATTTTGGAACGCCAATAGTTAAGTAAGCAACACTTGCAATTGCTAATCAGAGGCCTTTGCCTACTCTTACTCTGTAGAACAGAGACCTCAGTTATGGGTATGACTCTATAATAGACTCCTTAGGAGACCTGTGAAACCCAATGTTCATGGTAACTAGTGTGTCTGCTCCTCTCCTGCATAGTTTTTTCAGGTTAACTATAGCATAAAAGCATACTGAAATGAAATCATTGCAGGTAATCATTTATTCTACGCATTTTTATTTCAAATAGATTGTTAAATGCTCACAAAATACTTGTTTTTTTTCTTTTACTTATTGCCCAGACACTGTCAACAAATAAGTCATGATCCAAAATTTGTTCATGAAATATATGGTGTAAAGAATAAAGTGCATGATTACTGTGCTGTGGTTTAAATACATGTCACTTAGTGTTGTACTTATTTTGTCATTATGTGACTTCGGTATTTTTGGTCTTTGATAGATGAGCAATGGTAGATGAACTCAGCTGTCCTCCCTGACCTCTGTTTAGAACAGAGCTAACAGAGGAAAATGTGTGTCTAAAGTTCAGCATCTGGGCTCAAACTCACCTTTATCAGCATTTAAACTAAAATGGACTTTGCAATGAAACTACTTGTGTAGAGGCAGGTGTTCCCCTCTGGCAATCCTGCTGCAGTTTTGACAGCCTGTAACAGAGAGTCAGGGAGAAGAGCTGAAGGGGAATTAACACCTTAACATACCACAACAGAATTTGCCAGAGACTTTAGAAGATGCGGGGAAGTGTACCCTCTACAGTGCATACAGAATCAGAAATTCACATGAGGTCTTTGAGCTATGAAGCTTGAGCGCACTAGCAGGTCTGAGCATTTCGGTGTACTCAGGAAGGAAATATAGAGTGCATGGTGCCACTTGAAACTTGACATTTCCTTTTCAATTCTAATGGACATTTGAGGCAGGGCTTCTCTCTTATGCTTCTGAATGAATGACAGAAGGAGTCAGTGACTGAGGGTTGTTACCAATAAACATTCATCCCCATGGCTGGTAATGGAAATGACTACTTCGGCTTAGCAGCAACCCAAGAATGCATATTTTCACAATGCTGCCTGGGCCACTGCAGCCAGCCCAGGCAGTGCTTATCCAAGGCTACTTTTCTTCTTGTTTTTGGCTCTTGCACCAAATGAAACTATTTGTGTAGTTTTTTCTGTGTAGTTTTTTCTGAAAAAGAATAATTAATTTCTCAAACTTACCTTTTCGCCCTAATGTCCCACTCAATTTCATTTTCGATGTTTTAGACTGATATAATCCCACTTACAGTTTCACCACCATACGCTGAAACAGAATGTGTCCCTCTAGCACATCTCTTGGTCACTAGCAACATCCCTTCTCTTTTCATCACATAGCGTTGTCTACAGTTCCTCTCCTGTTTTGAACCAGACCTAGATTGGCCTCAAAATCCTGCTGTTTTTTTCCATATGGCAACATAGAAAGATGTCTCTTCCTTTTGCCCCTCCATATGCAACCTCTGCCTTGGTTTTATGTCACTTACCCATTCTAACCCACTCTTTTCCAGTCCCTTTGCCTCTCACCTGGCATCTTCTAGCCTGTCCAAAATGCTACCTCACCAGTTATCTTCCTCGTTTCTCTGGTTCCACTGCTCCAGGAGTCAAATCTCTTCACTCTTTTTACAAGACCGTCCAGTGTAAGTTGCCCTAAAGTGAAAAAGAGAATTCACGTAAAGAGAATCATACAACAGAAAAAAATAGTTCACACCAGGAAATTGCGTTCCTTTAAGCACAGAACTGATTTTCCTAGTTGAGCAAAGAAGCGTCCTCTGGTTCAAACTCTTGATTAGAATAGTCTCATCTCAATCTCAAAACTATGCCAGCAGCTTCTTCATATTAAATATTTTTCGTTTGTTACTCTTCTTCATGGTATTGCATGGTACTCCCTTCCCAGATGAAAAAACATGAACATCTCTGCTTGTGTAAAACAATTAATTCTATAATTTGTAGCATAAATAATATATATGACATTAATGCTATGCATATGCATATACTTCAATATTTTGTTAACAACATCCATGATACAACATATCAAATAGCTTTCAGAGTCAAAGCACATGCTTGAAAATCCTGACGCATCCCCTTTTTCTGCCCCGTGGAACAGGCTGTAGCTCAAAACCGTGTCCGTTCTTTTTAGTGATACTTCTGGCTTAAATCAGTACTGCTGCACCATGAGCTGTCCCAGAAAACTGTTGAATAGTGCAAAAGTCCAACATGCTTTCAGCCACTTCCTGCCGCAAGCCCCCAAAGCTGATGATAAAGCATGTCTGCAGCAGAACCATACAGCCTGCTGACTGGTGGTCTTCCTGGAGACCAGGAGAGAGGAGACGAGACTTCAAAAAAAGAGGCGACTAGATAAACATGCCTGGAAATTGCAGATCTCTTGACTGATGGAGCTGCTTTTCCTCGCAGCTTTTTCCACTGACTTGGAATGTTCTGTGACACGCTTGCTTCCCTCTCCTATTTTAAAAGGGAAGAAAACCTCCATTTAAAAACAAAATCCTAGCAAAAAAGCGGCAGGAGAGACCAAGGGATGTTATTAATAAAGTGAGGACCCTTGCCAAGAGAGGCTGAGTTTTCCGGTGGTCATTTTACCACCCTTGTTTCTTTATTAAACTAAGCTGTTTTTCTAACGAGATCGTCTTGCTTTGCACGTGTGTTCTTGGGCTCTGAACATCCTCCCATGTGTTTTGTTTTCCAGGAGGCAGCACAGGTACCTCCCCCACAACCTCCAGCACGGGGACCCCTTCGCCCTCCGCTTCCTCTCATCTTCTCTCTCCATCCTGCTCCCCCCCGGCCTTTCATTTGGCCCCCAACACTTTCAATGTTGGCTGCCGGGAGAGTCAGCTCTGCAACCTCAACCTGTCTGATTACCCCCCGTGCGCCAGGAGCAACATGGCTGCGTTGCAGAGCTACCCGGGGCTGAGCGACAGTGGGTACAACCGGCTGCAGAGTGGCACCGCCTCTGCCTCTCATCAACAGCAAGATGGAGGCGTACAGCAGCCAGCTGGGTTCATTCCCCAGCTCCCAGTTTCAGTATGTCATGCAAGCGGGCAACCCTGCCTCCACCTCTTCTTCCTCACACATGTTTGGTGGTGGCCACATGCAGCAGAGCTCCTACAATGCCTTCTCCCTTCACAATCCCTACAACCTCTATGGATACAATTTCCCTGCTTCCCCAAGGCTGGCAGCAAGCCCAGAGAAACTGACCACCTCTCAAAGCACTTTACTCTGTTCCTCCCCTTCCAGCGGGGCCTTCGGAGAGAGGCAATACCTTTCGACAGGCATGGATCATGGGATGCATATGATCAGCCCTCCGTCCAGCAACCAGCAGACAGCCAACGCCTGTGACAACAGACAGTACGGTGCTGTTCAGGGCTCCTCCTCACAGATGTCTGTGCACATGGTCTAACGAGCGGTGCATCTCCTTGGAATTGAAGGCAGTCAGACCTTCATCATTTCCATGGGTGAACCCATCCTGGTACCTTTTTGCCTTTAAACTTATAGTGGAACTAGTATTGTAATAATAAATATGAACACAAGCCGACTAGGTATGTGCCACAAAACCTCATGGGAAGCCTTGACTGACAGCCACTGCAGCTTGTAATCCAGGGCCTCCGGATCTGGCACAGAGCATCTGCTCTTTCTGGACATTGCAGAGAGAAGGGCATAACTTTTGAGAGAAGCTGGAGTGAAGCAGCTGAATATACAGTTTACGCATTAACTCTTAGCTAGTGTGAGCTCTCATGCGGAGGGAGCTGTGCCCCTGTGCTGTCTCCTCTGGGGGTCAAAGAAAGGAAGCCTCTGAGGACCTCATCCTGCAAAGCTGCACTGCCCATGAGAGGCCATAGCCTTAAGGGCCTTCCTCTTCCTGGACCGTCCATCACTGCTGGAGCGGCTCAGCCTGTTTCTGAAGTTGCCCCTTCTCCCACTGTAGCCAAGGAATGTTACTGAGCTGGAGCTTTTCTTCCCAAAGAGATTTCTGCATTTTGACTATGGTTCTGCCTGATTGACCATTTCTTTGCATGGGTTGAGCTCACCAGCTCCCAGCCTGTAGAGATGGGAGACAGAGAGAGAGAGAGAGAGAGAGAGAGAAAGGGAGAGAGAGAGAGAGAGAGAGAGAAAGAGAAGTTTTAACTCACAAGTGAACCTCTGACACGAGCAGGGACTGACTGATCTTCAGAAAGACGCACATGGGGAGAGGGGGCTCAGCTCCTGTTGATGTTACCCAAAGTGATGCACCATAAAAAAAAAAAAGAACAACAGTCTGTGTGTGCAACATATGAGTCCTATAGCACTCAACTCAATGGGAGGAAACTCTTCAGACTGAGCTCAGGGGGAAGAGTGATGAGAAAAGAGAGCTCTGCTCTACGGCAGTACAGCCGGCCTCCTTCACCTTGCATGCAAGAGTTGCCATAGAAAATCATTAGCATTTCAGTAACAGTGAGGTCGAGTATTCCCCAGCCTCCCGCCTGCCACATGATCTCTGTTTAACCAAATAGATCATTGCCTTTTGACATCTTTCTTTTCTGTTTTTTCTTCTCTTTTTTTTCTTCGAATCCTTTAAAAATAAGAAAACAACTGAAGCTTGGTGCAAGCTATGCATTTAAGTCGTGTGAAAATGCAAATACCAAGTAACAGAATACAGATATTATTGAGATTTGTTGTGAGGTGTTGTAGATAAATGTATTTATATGCCTAGTGGGGAATTCAATATTATGAATATAAAAGAGGGCAATAAAAATGGTATGTAAAATATGTATGAAGAAAAAAAGGTGTATAAAGATTTGCCCTATGCACGGAACTCTGTTTCTAAGTGCCAAGCACAGAACGCGCTAAATAAATCCTTGCAATTGTTCCCTTTGTGTTTTTTTTTCATCTGTTAGGCTCCTTCAGTTGTCATGTAGAGACAGAAGTTTTCAAAATTCTGCCATGTGTGTATGCGCAATACATGAAATACAGACACAGTGCGAAGTTGTAAAGTCCAGGTATGGAGCTTAAGAGAACGCAAATTTCTACGTGCATGTATACAGGAGTATTTCTGAGCAGAGCACTCAGGAGGAGTGTGTGCAGAGTCAGAAATACTGCTCTGCAGCTACTGGCATAGAAATCTATTTCTTGGGAAGAATTCACTGAAGCCATGATATTTTACATAACTGAAACCCTGAATAGGGGTTGCAATCAGATTTCTTATAATAAAAAGACCTCTCCTAAGTGATCTGATCAGCTTCAGAAATGGGAAAATAACAGTATTTCCTTTCACAGGGATTAGTGTTATAATAAAAATAAAAATTCAATGTTCTCAAGAGAGATTTTTAAAATTGGATGTTTGGGATCCATAAGGTGCCTGCTTTCGTAGGAAATGTGTCTTATGGACAGCTAGAGTTATTTTGACTGTTAAAGTCTAATATAAAGCACTTCAGAACCATTTTCCACAGTTAGTATTTAAAGTAATAGTTACAAATGATAGTATAATTTGTATTTCACTGTTAAATGTCATTTGGAGGTATTTGTCAGCTTTTCATTTATATTTAATTCCTGCTGTGTGATTGAGACTAATACTGAAAGCAGCTAAGGAGCTGAAACCCTCCCAGACCTGGCTGTAAGACTTATGACTGTGTGGTTTACTGCTTTCTGTGTGCCAATAAATTTTTTTCTGAATTGAAAAAGCACCAGGAATGTAGAAAGACTTTGAAAGATAAATTCTCCAAGCATTTTTTAATCTTTATTTTTACAGGGGAATATCAATATACAAATAGCATTCCCGATTTTGTGCCTCGTCTCTCTGACTGTATTCTGGCTTTGACTGTGTCTAGCCTTGTATGCATCAGAAAAGGGTTGGAGAGACTACAGTGGGCAAATGTGACAGGATCTGCCCCTTCCCTTCTTCTCTTCTATTTGATCCTAACATGTAATTCTTGGTTCAATCCTGAAATAGGAAGTTTTGTAGCCTCTCTAAAATTCTTTGTACATGCTTTGAGTCATGGTTGAATGTCATCCTGTGGCAATGATTTCTGCAGGTTAATAATATGTTGTGTGAACCAGTATTTCCTGCTGTTGCCTATTTGCATTCACAAACAGACATATAAGAAGGTCATGATCAAAGCATACAAATAATGGATGATACACACGTGTGGGTCAAGAAGCTCGTCTCTTCCTGCTTCCTGCCTTGACCACCAAGAGTATCTCATTTTTTCAGAAAAGTTTTTCCTTGCCCTGCATGCTTTTTTCTCTGTCTCTAGTATCTGTTTGGAGATAAGGTCCCAAGAACAGATATGGTCTTTTGTATTTGGGAGAGCCACTCATTTGTAATATGGCATTGTGTGGCATCTGCAGCCCTACTTTATTTACCCCATCTTCTGTGGGGCTTTGGAGGGAATGAGGGAGGAGTGTTGGTTGATTGGTTTTAACTGCTGCTTCACATTAATGCCAGGTCTTTACTGAGTTGCCCCCAGATATATATAGACTCTTTCTAAACTGATACAATTAAAGGAAAACTTAGATAGGTCTATGAGCCATGCAAGTCTCTCTCAGCATCCCTTGCTTTATATTTGTTGGTATCAAATGTCTTTACAGTTGTATTGCTGGCTCCCATTGTTTGGCTCAGTCTTTCATAAGCGTCTTACAAACTTTGCTAAAGCTGATTTTACAGTTTGGTGTCTCTTACAAATGCTGCTACATTATTGCTCAAGTGTATTAGTATTGAACCTACTCCAGGAATGAGTTGACCTCCAGTGCTAATGTTTTGCCATGATCAAAATATGTGATAAGCGACTCTAGTATGATGTTAGCAGCTCATCACTCCTTTCTCAAGTGCCTTCCTAACCCCTTTTGATTCACTGCCTTTCAGATTGATAAGTTTGTTCCTGTGTAATTTTCTCGCACACCTGGATAGCGCTGCCCTGTGAATACCAGCGGAAAAAAACATACTGGTCAAAAGCAGAGTGCTACTCTTTCTTATTTATCCCCTTTAATCTTTTGTGAGTGAGTCTGTATTTCAGCTAATGAGAAAATGTGATCTGATCAAAGCAAAAATCCTTCTCAGTATCAAAATATATGATTCTAATTTTGATTAAAACAAAGAATGAATGTCACCCCAAGTCATCACTAAAAATGGTCACTGAAAACAGCAAGACAGGCAAAGGGCACAACTTTCAATATTAGAGGGTGGAACTGGACTTCCAGTTCCATGCATTTTAAAAGGCATCACTGAAACTGTCATCTAAACTTTTCAGTAATATGATCTTTCAAGGTAATGAGCATTCTCCAACCAAGCTCTTCAACATGCTGAGATAACGTTATTCTGTCCAATCGCTTTTGGTAAGACCCTTACTCACCTTAGTGTTAGTATTTTTCAACCATATTTATTGACCATATTTATTTAGCTCTTTTATAACGAATTACATGACACATACACAAAATGAGAGAGTTTGTTTATTCGTTAGGCTTAGCATATAGTACTAAGTATAGTATAACACATAAGTGTTTTGTTGACCAAGGACCAAAATATTCAGCATCAAGACTGAAAAAGAACAGGGAAAAAACTGAGAGAGGTTGGCCTCAAAAATGATATAGAGTTATAACTTCATAAATATGGACTGTGTAGGAAAGTTACTCTGATAGTCTATGAGGATTAAAAGCAAGCTAACAGTAAAACGGTAAAACCAAACATTGTGAATTTTTTCTTTGGTCATCACTGCACACAGCAAAAGCAGAGCAATGTTCAGAGCGCAGCATTGAAAACAGTAGGCTAAAACATGTGAAATAATTTACTTGGTGTTCAGTGAGGTGCACAGGGAAAATCCTTCCAGTGTAACACTCCCCTGAGCGGACCACCTGCTCAAAGGCTTGTCACCTCCCCCAGAAACACTATTTAAATGTTAAATTTGAAGTGGACTTAGACAGACAGAGGGACACCATGTGCAGCAGTGGCTCCCCCACCCACACAGAGACTCTGAACCACTTGCCACTTCTTACTGAGGCTTCCCAAAGGAGGTAATGGCCCAGATCACGTGAAAGATGCATCAGGGAGATGCCTGGGAGATCTGCTTGGGACTGGCTCACCTAACAGAAGACCTGTGTTGCAGTACACAGTGCAGCAGCCATCCTTGGAAACCCGCCTTTCCTTAGATGACTGCCCTAACCACAGGACTGGAGCCTTCTTGGCATGGTCACGCTCCCATCCAGGAGCTCTTGACTGTTCAGTTGTAAAGCAAGTCAGGGCTGGGGGTGGGGGGAAGGCAGCAGTTGCATGGTTCCTCTCCCCTTCCTTTCCTCCCTGCTCCACCACAGACATTTGAACCCCTTGGCCAACTTCAAGCAGCTTCGACGGAGTGGTTACATTCTCAAAGGTACAAGTTCTTACGTCTTTCCTTTTAAAAGATAGGAGAGGAGGACCAAGCCCTCATTAATTCTTCCCATGGCAAGGAAGGCCATCATGTATCATCAACTCTCTGCTCAGAGAAGCCACATCTGGGACGTATATCCTGCACCTCTCCCCTCCCAACCCCCCACAGTTTAATTTGGCACAAGTATGTTATTAGGCACCAGAGAATCTACCAATACTGCAGGAAACCAAGGTTCTTTATTTCGTGGCTCGTGGGCTCATCCATTTAATCTTGGCCAATGCAGGCTTCTAGCTTGCAGCATGGCGGAAGGAATGGATATGTATCCCCAAGTTAGATGCTGCAGATTTAAAATGTGAAGCATCATGTAACATCTTTGATGATGGGCTCTCTATCAACAAGCCTGATGCAAATACCAGGAAAGGTAGTGGAAATATCCACAGCAGATCTCTGATCTTGCCACGCAGGCTGTTCTAAGCGCATACCTGGCAAACTGTTAAAAAAAATGAAGAGGATGGGGCAAAAATAATCAGAGTGGATTTGGGAGCAAGCCATGCAAAATTTGTTTAGCTTCATTCCTTAATACATTGACGGGACATAAATATTACAGTGACCATAGTCAGTGCAATTCAGCAATACTAGAACACTGCGCTCCAGTACGACACAGCGTTCTTGAAGGGAACGTGAGTACTGTGCATTAAAGCAAAATGCTTAGGGTGGAAACATAAATACAAATTGAGGTATACAGCCTGTGACATTATGTTAAAATCATAGCAGACAATCTGCTAGTGTGGCTGCTTTATTACTTTACTGATGTAACTGAGGGTGACAGACAGTTATTTGGGATAAAAATAAAAAATGAGTTCAGCTTTTTTTTTTTCTTCCCTGACACATTGGGCACATTTGCCCAGAACACACATCCAGCGTTGGCATGTCAGACCCTGCCCTGCACTAGCAAATAAGTTTTGCTGGACACTGCTTATTGGACATGGTTCTAAACAAAAAAAAATATCATGAAAGTGCACTCAAAGACTAGGCAGCAGGAAGCCTGAGCATGCCAATTATATACAAGAGAAACACTAGAAATGCAGCTATTAGAGCCATGAGAGAACTTTGTGGGCAGGGCACTGGTGTGGCCAAGTGCAAGCTTGCTATAAATAAGCCAGTTCCCATCCAAGGAACATCTGACTCCTTCAGCACTTTTCCTTCTTTAGAAGCCTGCAGAACGAGGCATTTTAGGCAGTTCTGTAACCCAGTGTTTTGCGTGTACTGATGGGACCATAACTGAGAGCATCACAGATTGGTCTCTTTGTCTGCTGAGGAGGGGATTTTGTAGCCTGCTGCTGGCCCACAGAATTTTACTCCTACTTTCTCAGTAATTTCTACCTAGGAAATTGTACAGAATACAGATAAAATCCCTGACACTCTTCAAGGGTTGCTTTCACATTTCAGTAACTGTTGCCTAT